GGGAGAGATAAGAAGGCAGCATGACATGCTCAAGCCGCCAGTGAACGCATATTCAATCGGGCTTGTATTTGGGAATATACCATTTTCTAGATAATATGAGAGAAAGACACCGTATGACTGCGTATAAATTAGTATAGCACACCTCTTGGTGGACATAAAACGAATAAAGGAGCTTACACTATTCACGCCCCAGGTGTTGGCGTTGATGAGACAAGCGCAAACAACACAAACCCAGCCATATCCTCCTTCTGGGGGGATATCTTCTGCTCCTTTATCGCTTAAGTCTCCATCCGACCTGGTGATAGAATCGCAACCTGGCCCTTTTTTGCCTCGCTGAGTTGTTCCATCTTCTATCTGATGTGTAGCATTCCCGCTGTTATGATGTACTTCTGAACCTCTTCCCATCTTCGAGAAAATGGGAAGTAAGAAGAGCTTTGGAATAACTAAGCAACCCTATTCGCCGAGGAGCCTTGATCCAGGCAGAGTTCTCTCTCTCTCTCAGCTCGTCTTTAAGGCAGAGGCAAGAAGTTGCTGATGTATAACTGATTGTCTGAACGGGCGCAAGGCCATTCCCGAAATGCAGCCATCTCCTCAGTATAAAAAGCAGTCATATCTTGTCTATTACTCGCGCCGGAATGACTATCCGGCAATGGCACAGCACGAAAAACGGCTGTTCAGTGCCGTCTAAGCGGAACTGTGGGGGCAGTTATCGTATTCATCCTGCTGACTGGCCGAGCGAGTTGTTGAAGCTGATTAACACATTTGAGGGGTTCGAGTTGCCTAGACTGAACATGCCCTACATTGTCAGAACGGAATTATTGTGACTGTCATTCCAGTGATTACCATAAGGTGTTGCTTGAGCGTCAACCGCTGCTAACAAGTAGTTGGTGTTCCGTCATTCTTGATGGATGCTGGAAGTATTTCTAGATTGAGGGGAACGGTTTGGACGCCACAACCCCTGGCAATTAGTCTGCTTGATGAACCAACCGGTCGTTTCATGCCACTACTAATAATCCTTTTTTTTTTTTTTTTTTTTTCCCGGCCCAAACACCGATAAAACAAAGCTGTGCACGTACAATCTGTGTCTTCAGTAACTATCAGGTTACCGAGGCCGAGATTTCCTGTTGGTTCTCAGACGGTGAATTAACGATAATGGGTTTAGGACCCGGAGGGTGTGAGCGCCTTCGGTTGCTTTTTCGTCCTGGTCTCGAATCAACAACAAAAGGTGGTGCACTTGCATAACTAACTAGTTAGCGTATTAGAATCTTACTGGCTGCGAATCTCAACTAGTCCCAGCCTCGCAGGATCAAGAGTATCATGACTATTAGTTGCCAAAAATTGGAAGGATACCTAGCTCCAAGCTCCCGTAATACCATGTGGCATTGTGCCATCTGTAGTACATAGGACAGCTGCAGATGGTGTGGCATTTGTTGTCAATAATGATTGGCCAGAAGCCAAGTATCTTATAATTGGGTTGTTGACATTTCGTTCAATTGCTAGAGTGAGGCCGTATATCGCAGTTATCTTCTAGCTCATATGCCTTACAATGATCCTAAAATCTGCACAAGATGCAAAACAAGCAGGCCTGTATAGATTTAACTGGGGTCTCTGAGGGCTATGTTAGAACCTTCTTGACGAGCAAGCCTGTAGATCTGGGTGGGAAGCCCGACTTCGGTGGGGGTACCATCATAACACACAGGTATTGGTGACATTTTTACGGAGTACTAATGTTTCAATAACGCAAGAGGATTGCCTCAATTCTACTAGAGATGGTCAGCCATAATCACCACGGTCTAGACACTGGCGATAGAGCGCAGTAAACAAACCCTTCAACAGCATAGAATTCCGCCTCGTCACATGCAGAATCCGCAAAGGAATCACTTCCAGGGCGCTGCTATCAAAGGCAAACGCCACTACTCGCAGCCGGCCGCCAGTCGTGGTCTCGCGATGCAGCCGTAGACGCATCGAAGCGTCGTCGAAGTCGCAGCAAAAAGAAGACGCGAAGTCGAAACTAGAATTTAAGCTCATGCGGCGGCCTCGGCTCAAACCGCGCTTAGTCAGCGATGTGTTGTCCGCGCAACCGGCTGACTTGGCGGTTGTTGATACGCCGAAATGAAAACAAGCCAGACCTCGCGCTTATGAAAAGGTGAGGCGAGGCGCCCCCAGAGAGCTAGTGCAACAAACAGACTCCGTACGGCCTGGAATACAACTTGCCACTGGGTGTACTACCTTGATCTGCGTCCTCTCCTTATCTCTGCCTATCTTCTCACAATATAAACAGGGCACACGGGCTGCTTGATGCTGGTACGCCCGGCTTCGTCTGCTTCTGCACGACTACGATACGATTAGCTACGATAGCTGAACAATGCACGGTGTCAAGCTAAAGAGCAGCCCCAGAAAGGTCTCTCCTCCGGGGCCTACGTTTATGAATGATGAGGAGCTGGGTAGGTGGCATTTGGTGGCCCTTCCATCAGCCTGGTATTGATGTAAACATATAGGGAATTACCTGCGAGATCTTCGAACAGCACGTCCACCACGCCCGAATGGCTCACGGCCACTTCCATCCAAGGCATCCGGCCCGGCAGCTTCCCTCAGCTTGAAGGACACGCCGGCAAGACCAGCGTCTTCGTTCTCCACTCGTCCATCTGATAATGTGCATTCACGGTCAAGCTCTAAGGACATAATTCCCCGTTCTTCCAGTGCTCTCTCTCATCGGCGGACAACCTCAGAGGTGTCCACACCTACCAGCAGTTCCAGTGGGACGCCGACAATCCCCGAATGCGAAGTGTTTAACGGTTCAAGAAATGTGTCTCACTGTGGGAGCAGCCTGTCATCCGCAACCTCAACTGCAATACCGTACATTGAACGTGGCCAGAGATGGATGGAAAGACAAGAAGTTCGATCTCTACGTTCGGCATTAGAAGAGATGGATGTCCAGGATGACGAGAGCAGATTGTTCGAGGCAGCTCAAGAGGAGGCAACTGAGCTTGTTTTGGAGCATCAGACCCATGGGTTTAAACAAAAGGACACTCATTCAGCGTACAGAAACCCGGACCTGAAGACCGTAAGCAGGCTACGGCAACATCTAGAGAAAGGTAGCCACGCGAGGACCTCCAGTATCGGACGCGGAGGGGACACTCCTCGGAGCCAATCCATAACTGACAGTATCCGATCATCCTCTGAGAGTTCGAACGGAAGTCCTCCGACATCCGATAAAACATCTGATGGAATAGCACGACCACTGCGGAGGGTCAACTTTGCCTTACCGAAAGCGGCCGCTGATAAAACTAAAGAAGATAATCAAAGCCGAAGGAGATCTGTTAGTGGTGGTTCTTCAAAGGGAATATTCAGGAATCCTGAAGATTCAATTTATGAAGAGCCAGAAGAGAATAGCACCCAGGAAGAGCCCACCACAGCTCAGAATACCGCTCCAACCTCTGCCCTAACCACGAAACCTCACAACTCTGTCCTTCGGGGAGCTCGCCCATTTCCAAACAGATGGAGTGGTTCATCAACCGGCGGTAAGCTGAATCGATTTGACATACACAAGAATCCTCCGTCTCAGACCAGGAATCCCCTTTACACTACAAATACTTGTACTCCACGAGAACAGACACCAGACCCAGAGAATAAACAAAGCACTCCGACTAAAAATGGGATTGAAATTCGTGACGATGAAATTCGTGCTGCCACAAGCATGAAGTTGAAGGATCGAAGCACAAAGCTTCCCATGCCGTCAGCAGTCAGTGATAGACCAGGCCGCCCAATTGTTAATTTTGACCCCAATTGGAAAGAGCCAGAGCAGGACGAGCCTGTTGGACCACCTGGCAGTGGACATGATGCTTCAACGCAATCCACAAGCTCCAGTGTCACTCCTGCTCCGGTTCCCATACCGGAAGTCAATGTCAGTGCTCCGACAGTACCCAGTATTAGTATTGAGAATGAAGGTCCAACGGGACCTGAGATTCGTATCTCGCCATTAGGCCCTACTATATCTGAAATGGAGCAGACGAGTCAAGTGCAACAAAAACGAGAGCTACCCAACCCCGGGCATCGTCAGTCTAACAACCGCCCGGGCTCAAGAGGAATCGAAAGATACCAGTCCCTTTCCAAGGCTGGGATACCGACAGCAAGTTGTGTTGTTTGTGGTCTATCAATATCTGGACGTGTGGTCACCGCAAGCTCTTACCGGCTTCACCCAGAGTGTTTCAACTGCTTTCACTGCCGCACTCCCCTCGAGTGTGTCGCATTTTACCCAGAACCAGAGGAGAAGCGCCGAGAGCGGCTGTCACAGCCTGACCTTCATCAAGATTTAGGACCAGATGAACCACGTTTCTACTGCCACCTAGACTTCCATGAACTGTTCAGTCCACGGTGCAAAAGCTGCAAGACGCCCATTGAAGGTGAGGTCATCGTTGCATGTGGCTCAACCTGGCATGCCGGTCATTTCTTCTGCGCAGAGTGTGGTGACCCGTTCACTCCCACCACTCCATTTATTGAAAAAGAGGGCTTCGCATGGTGTGTCCGGTGCCATTCACGGCGTACTGCGTCCAAATGCAAAGCCTGTAAGAAGCCAGTACTGGATGACGTAGTCGTCTCTGCACTTGGTGGCCAGTGGCACGACGAGTGTTTCCGATGCGATGAATGCAAGGGGTCGTTTGGGCCAGATGGACGTTTCTTTGTGAGACAGGGTAAGCCCAAGGTAAATGCCAGGGGAAGGCAGATAGGTGGCCCGGTTGAACTGCCAATCTGCGAGCCGTGTGAGTCGAGACGTTTGAAGGCGTAAGTTTCGCATTTGCAGCCATTTTTGCATATCCCTCCAGTTTGGTTTGATTTCTTTTCTTGTTCTTTCTTTTGTCTCTTTTGGGGAATGACTATTCATTGAAAATTGTATTTTGGTTTGATCCATAGCGTAGCAGAGTAGGCGATAACTTGACAGAAATATCATTATTTTTTGGGGCTTTTTATCACTGCGTCGGTGTAGTGGGATGGAATACGGGTTAGGACGGCCACTCCGGCTCAGCCTTCCTCCTCCAAACTGCCACAAATTTCTGCCCATTATTTCTTGTCACTTTCTTGCCTTCTTCTGTCTCCTCCCGCATCACTCGAACACAGTCATCCGCCGCAAGTTCCTCGTCACTCACACGTTCCCATAACTCAGCAATATCATGGGAGTTGAGATCGTTATCTGCAGGTTTCGCATCAAAATGCGAAACCATCCATAGATGTAAATCCTCCACATCTGTAATTGTGTATAGCATCCCTCCAGGCCGTAGTACATATGCATATTCAGCGTTAAGTGTTGTCGAGACAATCCTTGCCTTATGTTTCCTCGCCTTAAAGTGCGGGTCAGGAAAACAAATGAATATCTTTGAGAGCTGATGGCGGAAGAAGAAGTTTGGCAGAAATTTCATTGTATTCGAGCGGACGGCAGATATATTTTGGAAATTCGGCTGCTCTGGAACATTCGGTTGGGTAGAAGGTAATGATACTTCTCCGAGAGCGTTTTCTGGTTCCGAAGCAGCATCCATTGTGGCATCAGGTGCTGCGGGGGGAGGATGCCTTGAACGAAGCGCCCTTATTCTCTCTGTCACATATTCGAGGACGGAAGAACGGATCTCCATGCCTAACAATGGTCAACCAAGCTGCTTGATGGCAGCGTCAAGGGGTTGAATATGAAGCATACCAACCATCAGGGTGTCGGGCATTAGTGGCGCCAGCGCTACCAATAGCCCTCCAAACCCGCAGCCAATATCAGCTATTTCCACGTTTTTAACCAGCTTCCTGGCTCCCGAGATATTGACGGCGGTTGGGTCAGGGTCAACGTAAGCGGGAAACATTTTGGACCAATCCATATGGTCCGGACTGATGGGACTTGAAACCAGTTAGCATGGCAGCTCAATTTTGAGATAACTGGAGTGAGCAAAAAGGGGGAAATAGCGGACTTCAATAGACATACTAGTCCAGTTGGTGATCTGAGAAAGGATTTGCGTGAGCTCGCTGACGGTAGAGCTTCTTTTTTGGCAGCATTATCTGTCCATTTTCATCAAGTTTTCCTTCCAATGGTTTCCGTGGCTCCGCACGCTGTTGTTTTCTTTGATCTGGGGCTGCCATGTTGCTGTTTGAATGATGATTGCTGCTGGAGTCGCAGTTTGCGGTTGTTGTTGTTGAGCCGGTTTTTTATTTCATTTCATTTTATTTTATTTTTGCTCTGTTTAGCTTTCTCGGCCCCACGCGATCTTATCTTATCAGTTCTAAACCTCACGACAACCAGTCAGTGCCTTGCGCCTCAACCTCATATGACCAGCATAATATATTCTACTCCTTCGAGAAGATGGCAAATAGCAGGAGCACAGATAATGCAGGAAACATGAATAGTAGCCGTACCGACTTTATATTCCCTCGGGACTACTCTTTCCCACCGTTTTACACTGTTCAGCCCAACCTCACAACTCGCGAGAAACAGTTCCAGAAATGGTCGTCCTTCATTCAATCATATTGCAGACACCATCGCATATATCGGCTTTCGCTGATAGACATGATATCCTCGCCTTTATTCCATAATGCGGAGCTGAAGAAGGGCCTGAACCTTGGTGATGCTGTGATCATTCTTGACTGGATGGCTGGCACAGCGGGTGGGAAACGTGCAGAATGGATCGGGAGCGAGAAGACAATAGCTTGGATATGGTGGAAACGACCTGAGGAATGGGCCGCTGTGCTCGCGAGTTGGGTAAGTGAACTGGATATGACGTGCAAGCTCATGCTAATTGTTACATGCAGGTTGACGAAACGGCCCAGAAAAATACAGTACTCACTCTCTATGAGCTCATGGAGGGGGAGGCAACGGTTTCCCAGGGTATGTAACTGTCGTTCCTAAATTATACTATGCACTTTTGCCCTTTTCCACTCCGTTATTTACACATTATCTAGAGTTTCATAAGATGGACCCCGAAGTTATGCAAAAATCTCTCCAGGTCCTTGTCAAGCAGGGCAAAGCCCAAGTATTTGGAAGTGAAGATCAACAAGGCGTCAAGTTCTTCTAGGTCAGCGGCAAATACATTAATTGGCAAGCGTCTACGATCGCATCAACCGAAGCAGGTTCTTTGCACTGTGAGCTCCAGGGCAGGTTAAACACTTGATATGTACTGCCTACACGCACTGCAGGTACATATATCCCAAGGTTTGTCCTGTTGATCAATTTTTGGATGCAAAAAGTATTTAACATGTTTGAGAAGGGGCTTTGGATCGAAGACTTTGTATACCTCCAGCTCTGGATATGTCCCTTACGAGCTATTTTCGTCGGGGAGTTCGTATGAATCTCCATTTCGCCATTCCTGAGATAAAGCAATATCCAACAACCAATCCGAACTGACGACCCTAGGCACACGTTTGGCATTGCGAGCCATTGTCCGGAACTTGTCCCACAGCTTGACACTGCTCTTGTCAGTTCCGCTGATCAGATATACATCGTCCGCTTCGGACTGATCAGGGCCATCAGCTGCCAAACGCCGGCTACTTATCATTGTTCCTGGGCGCCCTCGGTACGGCACGCATTGTCCCCCATTCGCCTCAATTATTGCCTGGAAAGCCTCAATTCCACCATTGACTTTATCTGTGCAGTAAATGGTGTGTCCACTGAGCAGTTTTTGCTGATTTTTCTTTGCTCGTTGCCTTGCTTTTTCTAATGTGAAATTGTACTTTTTCTCAGAGGCTTTGTCTTTGAGGATATAGTCATTGGGATCTAGGAGTTCTTTTTTCTCAAGGCAGTCTGTAATGAAATTGGAATTTATAATAACGGGTGCGTGTGCTAGAGCGTTGAGAAATTTCTGGGTTCGTTTGATAGACGGCGCTGCCAAATGAGTGCATCGGGACGGATCTGGGATAACCAAAATTCCTAGATCTCTGAGTTGAGTCTACATGGAAATACCAGTTAGCCATTTAATCATACTACTCAATACTTTTTGGCTGGAAGGTCAGCTTACTCTCTCCGAGTCCTCTATATTAGGCTTCTCAACCCATCTGTTAAAACCCGTAATAACTAAACGGATTGCTATTGGCGGTTTGGACGTCTTTATTCTCTTCGTCTCGATGGCATCTTCTGAAGCAGACGCACTGTCGGGTTCAGCGGATCTCTTCTTGGCAGAATCAGGTTCCCCAGCACTCTTCCTTCGGCCTCCATAGATCACACCGCCAACCCGCTTTAACTCCTTTTCATATAAGGATATATCAGGGGCAAGGTTATGCAATTTAGCAGCCGCAATATCCTTTGATTTCCGGCTTCCAGTGGTAGAGGGTGTCTCATTTTCCTTTCCAAGATCGGCAAATCTGGAGGGTACCGGAGTTTGTAGTGGCTTTTCCTTTAGTTTCTTCGTCACCTTTGTAGTATTGTCAGGCTCGGGTCCTGGCATGTCTGGACCTTCATTAATTGCTTTGCGGCCTGATCTTGGTGTCTTGACGTTACCAGAAGATCTATTCAAGGTAGCATTGTTACCTTTCTGCGGTAGGGTGGCCGGCTTCTTTATACCCGGGGCTGGTTCCGGAGGAAAGAAGTGCTCCTCAACGGTGTATCTGTCTATTCGTGTTTGGCCTACAACATCGCTTAAATTTGTCCTTCGAGGAAAGTGGGTATATCGAGGGTCTGTGACACTTTGTTGCTGCCATTTTGCATAGCTCTCTTCGAGCCAAAGGTGATTCACAATATGTAAATTCCACTCCTTAGCAGCAGTGCACTTTTCACTATTTTTATGAGCAGTCAACAGATGGGTATTTTCCTGCTTCAAGGTTTTTGTCGACTCGGCGCCAGCAGCAGCTATGAGATTCTCCAAGTAAATCCTTGCCTCCCCTGCGTAATTGGAGAGACTGATTTTGAACTTATTAAAGCCGGGAATCCCCTCTCGTGCAATAGGGTAGTGAAGTAGCCTTCGCAGAGGAGATGTCCATGCATTGTGCGTGATGAGATGGAATAGCCATGAGAGATTGCCAACTTCCTTGCCAGCTCTGGATGCCATCTTGTAGTCTTCACCTTCGCGATATCGACAGATAAATATGTCACATTTTGAAACCTCGTTGGTGGTTTGACCGCCGCCTTCGCGGATCAGCTCTTCTATTGAGCTGGCCATGTGCTCTGCTATGCCTAAATCTGAAGATATCATCACAGTTTTCCCCTTAAAGATGCTTAATTCTTTCCTCGAGCCGCCAGGAGAAGCGGCCCGGTCTGGAAGAGCGTTGGGTTCAGGAGTCGAGGCACCCATAACGTCTCTATTCGCAGCAATTCGCGGGGGCCGTTCGTTCTCTGGTCGGAGAATCTCGGGATTGGGAAGTAGGTAAGGTCGTTCATCAATCCTCCTCCCAAGCTTGAGGCAATCGTCGAACCTGCTGTAGTTAGACAAGGCGGGCCAAGTGCGGGGGCTTGTATAATATACCTACCAGTGAGGTAATACGATCTTGGTTGCGAGGCCCCTCTTCTTCGCCGCCATACATCTCTCATTCATTGTCAAAGTAACGAGATGGGTCGTGCTGTTGGTGATGCGAGACGTGTATAGGCCTCCCATAGCCAAAACTCCACCAATGATCGCATCTTTATCACCTTCAGGAATATCTTCGCAGGTGACGATAACGTCATTCATAAATAGCCGTGGGTCTGGGTTGTACTGCCGCGGGTTCGCAAGCTTCTGTTTTGATATAGACATCTGCACCCATTGGGGCTTGACTACCGGAATGAGGGCGTCGCATGCTGCATCATGACCTTGGAAGTCTATGGTCGGGGAGATTATGTGACTGAACTCGTTTACAGGTGGGAGTGGTGTCTGCGGTTCATTTATGACCACCTCGCCTCCATGTTCTCGTAAAGCAGACGATATCTAGTGTTGTGGTAACAGAAATATCAGCATATTATCCTTAGGCTGCAGCTGATAGCTATCCATCTACCTACTTCTTCTGCCTGTTCTGCATTTAGCTGGGCGGAGCAGACAATACAGATCCGCGCCTGGCTGAACAGCCCTTCTCCCTCCATTATGGCCGTCAGCCGTCGCAGAACAGTATTTGCTTCAAATATTTATATCGGTTTCACAGCGATTCGCGCTTAGAGTATCTCCGTTTGATCGGCCGTTTGTGCTGGTCCCCTCAGTAGTTGCTGGCCGTCGAGTTTGGTCGAGCTGATAGATTTGGTAGAAAAAAAGCAAAATACAGGCGCGCGCGTTTTAGCTTTTTCCGAAACGCGTCAAAGCTGCGTGGATCACGTGCCGATTATTATGTATTTGGGGTAAATTTCATCAAAAATGGGTTGTTTGTATTGGCTTACTGACATGAATATTGATTATAGCCTGTATTGTTACGTCTTGGTGTACTAGTGCAGGTTTTATCCAATTAGACATAATAATGTTACATTAGTCATCCAGCGAGCGCAGTATAATGGGAAAAGTCGCACGTGAGATAGCTTACTCAGCATTTGTCATTCTTTTTTCACATGAAAAATAAAAATTTGCTTGTTTTTGTCTCCTGAAACTAGATTTTAAGCTCGTTGGCATCTATGCATAAGACACAGCATAGGGTCTATTATGGTGTTGATATATACCCTGAGATGAAATGAAGGAGAATATGCCACCTTCTGCTCTCCCTTGGCAGAGACACTGTCGATCAAAGGGTACCTAACTATTGGAACCTCGGCCCATCGGTAACGAGTGGCCGAACACGCGGACGAGCAACCTTGGAAGGCATCCCTGTTCTACGCTGGCCAGACAGCCTCGCAGCAGGCTACAGACAATAGTGAATACATATGATGATGCTGCTTTTTATTCAATAATCGAGGAGTAACTACGCTGTATCCCCTTCAATTTTCATCTTTTATGAGCGAACACGGTGATAAAGCATCCCTATCTCGTTATTCAAAAAGATGACCAGCTGTTTCCGAGTCATTGAGCATGTCGTACCCTGCCAGCATATCAGGGAATACCCTTATGCGACAGCTACCAGCCAAGAAGAAACGCTCAGTTTAGCTGTCAAGCAGTATGTACCATTGGATAATCCAAATCCGCAACCGGGTGATGTCACGATAATAGGTACCCATGCCAATGGCTTTCCAAAGGTAAGAAGTATCCTGGGTTTATGTCTATTAT